AAACCAAAGAGTCTACTGATTTACATCTTTCACCTGTGGCTAGTGAGTCCAGACACTGAGCCATCACTTCAAGAGCATCTCCACTTCTCAGTGAGGAGAACTGTAAATAGAAAACCCATTGACAGCTATTCAAGTAGAATCCTCACTTCCTTACCCACTGACTCACTTCTTTGGTTTTCATGCCATTTTATCCAAAGTTTCGTCTCTAGTTAAAATCCACCATCTCATAAGTGCAACTCAGTGCACTGATACTATAACATTTTATGACATTGCTCTGGAGAATTCCTCCCTGAAGAACTTGTGATCACTTTTTATACACTTTGCTGTATTATTGTATGATAACCAAAGAGTCTTGAACTTGGCCCCTCAGGTGTAAACACTCAATAGCACCAATTTGGAGCACTGCTCCTTAAGATTTCTGCAGGGAACAAATTCTCTTCACATAAGAGACTCAATTCCACCATGACATCTCCCTCCCATTGGGATGTGAAGCCAACAGCTGAATACATTTTAGTAAATCAGAGAAAAGAAAAGAAAGGAAGATGTAAAGGAGAGGTTCATGAAGTCTTTATGACCATAAACAAATGTTTAAATTAGACTCAGTTTTACTGAATTATACTGGTTTCTTTACATGCCTGGCTGAGACTCTATGTCTGCCTAGCTGACCATTCACAGGCACGTGGTAATTAAGAAAGTATTTTCTCTTGGTGGTCAAGATTAGAAAGAAATACAGTCTAAGAAAGGGAATCTTGACATAGCTGTCTTTTTTATAAAGTGGGCCTAAGAAATATTTCTTTATGACAAAGATATAATAAAGAAAATTGTTTTTGAAAGGATTTTGGAACCAGCCTTACCTAAAGTTGCCCCAGACAACCAAGAAGGTTTCAGTCAGGCAGTTTCTAAAGAAAGAGACTTAACATTGATTCTTATCACCAGTTCTAGCCCCAAGGAATGCTTTACAGGGTAAACATCCTGTGAGTATAACTGTAAATCTTCCTAGCTGCCTAAGCATTTGTGTCCAATGAAACTCCCATCTCTTTAACACTTCCTTTTGTGACCTCTATCAAAACGAACCAATCAGTGATTTTATTGTTAATCTCTTTGTTTCTTGCCCCATAGCTGTCGCCTCTTGGGACTCACTCTCTGAAATCACCATGTTTTCACTTATGTGGGTAGTTTCCCATTTGAATGGCTCCCTAATGCCAAATAAAACCTCTGAATTTTCATTTCAGTTTTGAGTGGTTTTTTTCCCCTATGAAAAAGGTGAGGTGAGAGGATGAGCAAGAACAGGAAATTTAGAGTTGGACAGAATGGACAATTTGTACAAAACAGGGAAACAAGGCAAGATTGAAGCCTATTTGAACAGAGTCCCGGCTAGAACTGGATGTCCCCACTAGAACTTTGTAGTTTTTGGTAGAAATACAGAGGCATTAGAAATATTTGAGAGAAAAAAATGTCATTATAGTAAATTTCATATTTAGAGCCGTTTAATTCGGAGTAAAAAGATCTGGCCAGCTGTTTGACTTTGAGCATTAATTATGTTATTGATAATTTTATTAATCTCACAGGATATGTGTGAGAATCAAAGGACTCAAGTCTCCATCTAAACTGACTTGAACAGTGAGTGAAACTTTTTGGCTCAGTCCCAGTAGAAGGTAGGAATGGATGAATTTCAGCCTTGGCTTTATCCAGAACTCAGACAATGTGGCCAGGACCTGGTTTCTTTTTTCTACTTCTCATCTCTGTTTTCCTAAAGTAGTTTCCATTATCGAGGAAACTCTCCATTCCTGGTGACAACAAAGCTGCCAACACCACCTAGGGAACAACATTCATCTCTCTAATCTGTGTCCAGTGGGAAATATAGCAGTTATCCTGAAGAAAATGGGTTTTTAGTCACAGAATCCAATCCAAAGACACCCCACCCCCCACCAAAAAATCATTCACCATGGAAGGATTACCCACCCATCCATGAACCAGTCATATGACCTTGGGATGGGAAATATTGCCTAAGAATAATTAGAACAGTAAAATTCCTACAAGAAAACAGGGGTAAATCTTCAAGACCCTGTTTTGGACAAAACAGACAAAATGGACTTTACCAAAATTAAAAACTTTTGTGCACCAAAGGACTTTATTGAAAAAATGAAAAGACTGGAGGAAAATATCTGGCAACTATGTATCTGATAAGGGTTTTAAGATCCAGAATATACAAGGAACTCTTGCAACTCAACAACTAAAGGACAAAAAAATCCATTCAAAAAATAGGCAAAGGACTTGAATAGACATTTCAGCAAAAAACATATACAAAGAACCAATAAGCACATGAAAAAATGGTTAAGATCTTAAATCATCAGGGAAACACACATTATAACCACAATGGCATACTACTTGATATATACCAAAACTAAAAAATCAAGCCAGTTGCCGTGGAGTTGATTAAGACTCATGGTGGCCCCATGTATTACAGAGCAGGACAGTGCTCCCTAGGATTTTAAAGGCTGTGATCTTTCCGAAAAAGATTGCCAGACCTTTCTTCTGGAGCTCTTCTGGACAGGTTCAAACTGGCAACCTTTCAGTTAGTAGTCAAGTGCTTAATCATTTGCACCACCCAGGGACTCTTCCATACATAGTAGAAAGGCTATTTTCAGAAAAACAAAAATAGCAAGGGTTAGCAAGGACATAGAGAAATTAGAACCCTCATGCATTGCTGAAAAACAGTTTGGATGAGTCTTAAAACGTTAAACACAGAATTGTCATATGGCACAGCAATTCCACTCCTAAGTATACACCCAAAAGAATTGAAAGCAGGAACTTAAAAACAGACTCTGATACACCAATGTTCACTGCAGCATGATTCAAAATAGCCAAATGGTAGAGACAACCCAAATATCCATCAGCAAACAAATAAATGGATAAATGAAATAAGGTATCTACACAGAAAAACAAAAAACAAACCAATTGTCATTGAGTCCAACTCATGGCAACCTGTGTGTTTCAGACTAAATTGCAAGCCTTTCTTCAGAAGCACCTATGGTGGATTCAGACATCCAACTTTTTGGTTTAGTAGTCAAGTGCTCTGGTGGCATAGTGCCTAAGGCACTTGACTGCTAACTGGAAGGCTAGCAGTTCAAACCTACCAGGCATTCCTCGAAAGGACAGTTGGGCAATGTAGTTCCACCTTGAGTCGGGGCTGACTCAGGGCACATAAAAACAACAACAGCCAAGTGCTTAACTATTTGCACTATGAAGGGACTCTATGTAAATATGTAATGAATATTATTAAGCCATAAAGAGAAATGAAGTTCTGACACATGCTATGACATGAATGAACTTTGAAAACATTATGCTAAGTGAAATAAGTCAGACGCAAAAAGATAAATATTGTATGACCCCACTTGTATGAAATGTCTACAACAGGCAAAAGCATAGAGACAAAAGTTTGTTAGTGATTACCAGGGGTGGGAGGGAGGGGAGAAGGAGAAGTTATTACTGAAGGTGTACTGAGTTTCTGTTTGAGGTGATGAAAAACTTGGAAATAGTGGTGATGGTTGCACAACATGGTGAGTGTAATTAATATTAATGAGTGTCAACACGGTGAGTGTAATTAATTTTAAGCACACTTAAAAATGGTTATAATGGCTAATGTTGTGTTATATATATATTTTACCACACCAGATTTTTTAAAAGAAATACATTTCTAAATAACCTGTGAGTCATAAAGAAATTAAAAAGCACTTTGCACTGAATAGTAATGGGTTGTATTATGCATGTACTTAAACTTGAAAAATGCTTAACTAAGTGTTCACTTCAAGAAATTAAACACAGTTAACAAAATAAACTCAAAGGAAAATTAGAGATAGAAAGTTATTAATGAAGTTGTTGTTGTTGTTGTTATCATTAGGGGCTGTCGAGTTAGGTCCAAATCTTAGCAATCCATGTACAACAGAACACAACACTGCCCAGTCCTGCACCGTCCTCATAAATCATTGTATTTGATACCATTGTTGCAGCCACTGTATCAATGCATCTCATTAAGGGTCTTCCCCTTTTTCACTGACCGTCTACTTTACCAAGCATGATGTCCTTCTCCAGGGACTGGTCCCTCCTGATGACATGTCCAAAGTATAAGCCATCCTTGATTCCAATATTATAAACTAAATAAAAATGGTTTTCAATAACTGAATGACAGCTTCATATTGGAATAGTGTTTTAATTAAGATCAGTAGGAACTTCTGTGATGTAGATTTAATGAAGGGATCCTTCTATGCTACCCAACAGAAATATCAAAATAGAAAGCGAACATGAAATATTCCACATGTTGCAAGAGGTGAAGTAACTTGTTCTGGAAAAAGTTGTTGCACAAGTAGTTTTGTGACTCAAGGACCATAGAAAATAAACCAAGTGAGTTCAACACATTCCCAAAAGAAAAAATAATCAGTCATTGTCAACTTGACAACAACTAACAGCAACTTTGTTTGAAAAGTGTTTCAGGCCATTTATTGACATACAAAGGAAATTTGACCAAAGCCTCCAAAAAACAGTGGTCTATAAATTAAAAAGACAGCGTAACGATCAAGTGAGATTTCAGGAAAGTTCCAATATTGCTCTCTGATCACCAATATTTTCTATAGTACACAGAAAAATACAATTTTGGATTGTAATCTGTGTGAATCCATGAACTAGAAGCAAGTTGGTCGACCCAAAAATAGCTGCACTTTCTTGTTCATTTATGAAACAAATTTTTCCTCCAGATGTAAAAATCTCATCTCTATTTGTGGATCTCTTGATGCTCAATTCAAAACTGAAAAGATCTTCAGGTCAGCCTAAAGCATCATTTTGAAGAAATTCTGTAGTAGCTAAAAAAATTTATAAGCAACACACTCTTTGTCCCATATGTCCCACCTTGAGAAATTTATCAGACAAAATTAAAAAGCATCAGTACATATAAACGTATGTGACCAGATATTTATTGAAGTATTGTTGTAATGACAACAATGTAGTAACAACCTGGATATCCATAAGAAATGGATAAATTGTTATATCATGTTATGAAAAATTATATGTCTGTGAAAAAAAATGATAGGAGTACATTACTGAAAGAGAGGGACACCTATAAGATATGATCAAACTTGAGGAACTCAACAAATTAAACATACTCATTATCAAGAAAGACAATCTGTTTTAACCATTCATTAAATTTAAATAGAGGGCAGCTGGGCAGTGACCAAATAGCACACGACTTCTCAATATAGTCAGACTGTGTGTGAAACCATTTTTCTTTGCCACAATTTCATCAAGGCTCTTTTCATCTCATTGTTCCGCAAGCTGTAGATCAGTGGATTTAGCAGAGGAGTAAGTAACGTGTAAGCCAGTGACATCAGTTTCTTGGTTTCCGGAGAGTAGCCAGATTTGGGTTGCAAGTATGTCATATTGGCTGTGCCATAAAAGAGGGTCACAGATGTGAGATGAGAGGCACAGGTAGAAAAGGCCTTTTGCCTCCCAGTGGTTGATGGCATCTTCAGGATGGCAAAGAGAATTCGAATGTAGGACAAGAGTATTAGCAAGAAAGGGACCATAACAATTAAAATAGTGCCTGTGAATGCATAGATTTCAAACAAGAAGGTGTCTGCACATGCAAGTTCTAGCACTGGGGGAGTTTCACAGAAAAGATGATTAATTTCACTGGGACCACAGAAAGGAAAGCTAAACACCCATGAGGTTTGAACAGTAGCTACCATGACCCCTGAGATCCATGAGAACATTATTAACTTCATAAAGACCATTTTGGTCATAATCACTGGGTAACTCAGAGGATGGCAGATTGCAGCAAATCGGTCATAAGCCATTGCCCCCAGGAGAAAACATTCAGTCCCACCAAAAAGAAGAATGAAATACATCTGTGCAAAACAGCCAGCAAAAGATATAGTCGCTTTCTCAGTGGAGAGGACCACCAGCATTTCAGGCATAATGACTGCACTGAAACTCACTTCCACCACAGACAGGTTCTGGAGGAACAGGTACATGGGGACATGAAGACGCTGGTCCAGAGAGATGACAAGTATGATGATGGCATTTCCCATCAGAGTCACCAGATAAATAACCAAGAAAACCCCAAAGATCAGCTTCTGGAGTTCAGGAAAGTTAGAAAAGCCTAAGAGAATGAATTCAACAACAGAACTTTCATTGTGCTTTTTCATTTCAGGAGTAGAGTATATATTGTTTTTATGGACATAGTACATATGAAGTCACAATCCAAGAGTTGAGAATCCAACTCTGTACTTCCTGACAAACGTAATGATGAACCCATCCTGACAGAAGTTCAGATTGATAATTTTGGACAATGGCCAGTAACTGGGAATAATGAATCTTTCAAATACAAATGAAGAATTGAAGAATTCTGGGTCACAAATCTTGTGTAAAAAGTACAAAATAACAGCAGGTGCTCTCTGGCAATATGTTTGTTCTGCAGGTTGAAAATTAAACCTATTCTTAAAATATACATAAAACATTTCATTATTAAGGAGCCACTGTTCATTACATTAATGATTGCATCATTCTGTTCTATTCAATTGCATATTTATATATGACTTTTAAAATAAATTGTTTCAAAGTAGGTAAATTTTTTTAAAGCCTAGAAAAATATTAAATAAACTAATAAATTCAAAATTAAAATAAGTTTTTATAAATATGTATTATAAATACCAAATTAAATTCAAAATGCATTTATGTTACTTGGTAAAGATGAAAAATAATACACACTCAAACATACATGACACTCAAAAGAGGTTGAATTTTACCTTTTTTTTTTTAAGAGCTTGTTTTACATTCAACATTACATGTACATTTAGTTTCATTCCCCATTTGCCATGTCCAACCCTAACCCAGTCTCATCCCCTCCCTACCCTGTAACCCTCCCCCCTGTGCCCCCTCATATTTATGCACTCCTGTTTGTCTTGCGTTTCCTCAATTTGAATGTTGGTCCTCTAAGGGATGTATTACCATAGAGTATGTGGGTGTGTCATCCTGGGGTCTAGTGGTCTACGTGTACATCTTGTTAACTATTGGGCTGAGAGCCAGCCCCTCAGGTGCATTTTATTCCAGGCACAGAATGTATTCCAGGGTCATAGTATTGGGGGTATCACCAGATTTCATCTGACCAGTAATTCTGGTCATTATTGAGTTTTTAGATTTTGTTCCATGTTTTTCCCTCCCACTCTATCCAGGATCTCCAGATTTGATCCTTTCCTGAGTGGTTGGCATTGGTAGCCGGGCACCATCCAGTTCTTCTGGTCTCGAGGACCATCGTGTCCTAGGGCTGATTGCTTCCAAATGCCCATTTTTTGTTTTGTTTGCTTTCTTCTTCACTTCCCATGCTAGGAGACCATTAGCTGCATCTTAGATGGCCATTTGAAAGCTTTTAAGACCCCAGTCGCTACTCACCAATGTAGAATGTGGAGCAAGACTTTTATGTATTTTGTTGTGCCAATTGAGTCTGGTGTCCCCAGTACTATGGTCCTGAGACGGTAGATCTATTGGATCTCTCTGCCATACTATCTGGTTATCTGTGAGGAATTACTGTGTGTCTGTCTTCTATTGTTTCTGTAAGGATTGCAGGTATTTGTATCCCTGGTGTCAAAGAGGTTGAAATTTAGATGCACTTGTCTTGGATGAACATAAATAAATTGGCTTCAAGTATATTGATTTCTGGCCAGGTTGGACCTGACCAATTATATTGAAATTTGTCTGGATGGTAAACTTTAGGGACCAGTCCTCCATGGCCCATTTTTGTGACCATCATGGTATGAAAGTGGCTTTTTAGAGCTATAAAAATTTCTGGTTTTGGTCACTCTAATATGTAGTTTAAACACTTCTTTGTCTCCTCCAATATACATCTCTGCCTCTTCTCCCTGCACTCAGCTTCCCCATCTTATGTTTAGAAGTTGCAAAATAACCTTCATTGTCCCATCTGGATCTGACAGGATTATTTCTCTGATTTGGTCATAGAAAACTACAGGCTGTAGGGCCTCCCTTCCATGAAGATGAGACACAGACTGAAGGGAAGATAGGATAGTGATGAGTAGGCACTTAGGAGGCCTGAGTTACTTTGGGCAAGCCAGGCCAAGCAGATCTGACCATCTTCCTCCCAACCTGGCTGTTCTTTGAGCACAGCACCTTCCTCCTCCCTCCCAGTCACACAGATCTAGTTCTCCCTGCCCCCAGCATCTTATTCGTTGCCAAGGCCCACAGTTCTTTAAAATCTGGATTCCCTCTGTCCTCAGCAAATCTATCCCACTGCCACTGCCCCAGCTCACTGCCTTCCCCAATCCCAAAGCCTCTCCCATTATTAAATAATGCCCTAACTGGCTCCTCCATGTTTTGTACCTTCTCCTGCAGTCTATACCTCACATCTGCCAGAATAATCTCACCCTGACTTCCAGAGCCTTTATAGTTTCTCCTCATAAGTAGAATAAGATGTCTATTTCACAGGCTGGTATTTAGGAAAACTGGATGATAACAAGTGCTTTAGACATTCAAATGAGAGAAAGTTTACTTCTGAGTGAAGAGGGATGGGGTACAACCACAATCACAGGATGTCTTGGGTGGTGAGGTCACTAGGAAAAAAGCCTAAGAAGGAAGGCTCACTTGCTCAAGTCAAAAGTTAGTGGATGACTCCTTAGCCTGCTGGCATTTGTATGATGCTTTGAAAACAAGCAGAATTTCATGACAGGATAAAAGAAAGTCAAGAGGACACATCAAGCTGAAGATATATAATGTTGTCTTAAGTTCAGATCTTTAAGACATTAGCAGAGAGTTGAAAGCAAGTTGACAGTCTTAACTAAATTTGACCAGAAAACAAAACAGACAAACAAACAAAAAAAACCTCACTGCTGTTGTGTTGAATCCGACTCATAGCAACCCTTCCTTGGGTTTCTGAGGCGGTGCCACTCCTCGGAAGGAAGGTTGGGCAATCCTACTTCCGTAGTGATACTGCCTCAGAAACCCAAGGAGGGGTCGCTATGAGTTGGGGCTGACTCGATGGCACATAACAACAACAACAACATCACTACAGAAGTAGATTGCCCAACCTTCCTTCCGAGGAGTAGCTGGTGGGTTTGAACCACCAGACTTCTGGTTAGCATTCAAATGCCTTAGGCACTATGCCACCAGAGCTCCAGAGTCATGTATTAAATAAAGTATCTAGATTAACTACAACAATTATATTTTGAAGGATCAAAAAGAGAACTCCTAAAATGGATAGTAAAATGAAAACATTTAAGTACATTTCTAATAGGAAAAAAAAAAAATATATCAGCTGTAAATGTTTATATATAGATATAGATAGATAGATACAGATATATATATTTAAAAATAAGAAAATTTACCAATACGACCAGTTGCTGCCGAGCCGATTCTGATGCATGGACCCTGTGTGTGTCAGAGAACTACGCTCCATAGGGTTTTCGATGCCGGCTTTTCTGAAGTAGACCACCAAGCCTTTCTTCTAAAAGAAAAACAGAAACTTCAGGAGGCTGATAAAGTTATGGAACAAGCTTATGTGAACCCTTTGTGAGGGATTTAAAAACATATATGAATAAGTAAATCTAAATGCGCTATCACAGCTAGACTCTCAGGTCTCAGGACACAACTTCTCCAGGAAGCCAAAGAGCCATAGGAAAAGCTTAGGATGCCTTCTAGTCCTCTCAGTTTTTCTCTTTCTAAGACACCAGGAGTATATTCATAGGTCCCTATTTTATTTTTTTCTTCCTGTTTCCTAGAACCTGAGTTTTGCAAAAACAGTTCCATTTCAGCTTTCTACCTGGGCCACCCCATCTCCTCCTACCCCAGCCCAATGCAGCCTCTCTCAGGGCTTGGCAACTAGGAGAGGAGGCTTAGGGCAGGGCCAGCCTCTCACCTTGGTATTAAGGGTTCTTGTACCAGTTGGCATTGTTGTCATTTTGTACAACTCACTGCAGTCCAATTCCCATCCGTGAACTCCTCAGAGTTTGCAGGAGATATTCTCTGACACCTGTCTCATTATTTAAATAAAATGCCCCCTTTTTCCTTGTCTTTAAAACTATGGGGTTGCTATTGGCTCTCCAATACAGAGTACACAACTCTTTCCCTCCCACCACCCATTTGTTTGCCATGAAATAAGAAACTAAGATCCAAATCAGCCTTTCTTTTAAGCCCCTCAGATATCCAACAAGATGCATTGACACAGTAGCTACAATAATGGTCTTAAATGCAGCAAGATTGTGAGAATGGTGCACAACTGGGCAGGGTTTCATTCTGTTGTACACAGGGTTTCTATGAGTCAGAGCTGACTCAATGGCACCTAACAATGACAGATATATTTTAGGCTTTAGCCTGCCATACTTAAAGGGTCTATTTTGTTATTTGGCTCATCATGTGTGCTTTGGGACCACCTCATTTTACAACCACCTCTGGTGACAACTTTGTGTTTTTGACATCAATTAAATTGCTGTAGGTCCATATCCTACAAGGGGAAAAAAAAATTATATTGTACTTTAACACAAAATACCCTAATGCTATCTTGGTTAATTCACTGGCATAACAACTGGCTCCATGATTAACTTTCTGTAGGACCTTGGGCAAATCACTTCCTGGTCTGGATTTTATCTGTCCGCATGATTGGCCTTATTTCTGAACCTCTCCTCCTTCCACCCCTTACAAACCTCTATGAATTGATTATTTGTTCAAGCAAACAATTCATAACTGTATTGCCCAAACTAGCTTCAATACCAAATATGTCAGCTCTGCTGATTGCTGAGCACTGAATTACCACTTGATAACTGTCTCTGATTATAAGTGAGAATAATTATAAATGCTAAACTCACTAACAAGTGTGCAAACAGAATCTTCAACTCCTTACCTACTGATTCTGTTTCTTTGATCTTCATCCCACTTAATCACGATTCATTTCTTTAGTTAAAAAACAAAACACTTCCATAAATACAACTTATGATTCCATGTGCTAGTTTTATAATGCTCACTCACTCTCACAACCGTGAAGTTGTATCTGACTCATAGTGACCCCTCTTTGGGTTTCTGAGACGGTATCACTATGAAGTAGATCACCTAATCTTTCTTCCAAGGAGTGGCTGGTGGGTTTGAACCGCCATCCCTCTGGTTAGCAGTCAAATGCCTTCAGCACTATGCCACCAGAGCTCCTAGTTTTATAAAACTGCATGGCATTTAATTGTACATGCTGGGAGAATCCTTCCCTAGAGAACTTCC